GCTTTATAATGAATATAAATTATGCAAAATTATATAAAATGATATCTAGAAATGCTTCTAATTATTTTTGTATTAAATAAAATTTTGTTTGGTTTGGCAAAAATTATGTGCAGGTAACCACCAAAATAGTCCTTGACATAAAGTCTCTGGAAATAAAGCCTTAACATTTTGATACTTTATTTTTTAGGACTTTTTGTCTGGTTCCAGTATGATTTATACAAAAAAGACCCCGAAAAAAAGTTCTTTTATAGTGGAAAAAAGGGGGCTTGATATTAAAAACTCATCGAGCTTTATTTAATATGCAGATGCACAGAAGAAAAGTCCTTTTTTGAAAACGTCTCAGGCTTGACCTCATTTTCCCGAGACTTAGGACTTCGGATTTTATTTTCGTCAGGACTTTAGTTCCTGTAATCTTATTTCCTGAGACTTTATTGGCATTTCTTTTAAGCGAAACTTTTTTCCTGTCACTTTCTTACATGGATTCTAAATGTAGAATCTTTCCTTAATGGGACTGTAAGTGTAATTCCAAGTAAACCTCTCATATCAATTTTTACAATATAAAACAACTATTTTCAGTTGGGGTTTCTCTACAAAAGTGACTTGCGCATTTCTACTGTAGGAAAACACATGTGAAATATAAATAATTAAACCTATTATAAACCTATAAAAACGATAATGGTTTCAAGGTTACTGTTAAAAGTCGGGCATTGCAATCTTTGCATGGAGGGTCACTTGAAATAACGCTTAGTCCCTTTAAAGGGTCAATAAAATAAAAAATAAGAATCATTATACACAATAAAGGGTTACCAACAAAGAATGAGACTGCAAAGACGACCTGAAACACTTCAAAAATAAATGATGATCTCAAGTTTAAATTAAATCTTTTGCCTTAAATAGCTTATTAAATGATATTAAAAAAAGTTCATAATTGCAGCCAAAACAAAATCCGTACAGTCGTCTCTGAAGACTAATCCTATATGGGAAACCCTGGACAATCCGAATTTGCTCTAAAAGATACTTGTCTCAGGAATAAAATTGTATTCTGGGGAGGTGTTGATATCCTTGTATCCCTGTATCCTGTCACGGGTCTGATTTCCCCTGAGATATATCTCATGAATACCAATTCCTAGCACCAGGGATGAATATTTACTCTAGGTATACCTGGAACTAGAGAGATCATTCTTATTTATTAACGTATATCCAAAACTGTATAGTAAATAATATACATTGTGTACTGTGCCCCAGTAGCTGTACAATGTACACACAGTAAATATGGTAGCCACTTGAAAATGAAAATATTGCTTTTTCTTATTTTTTTGATGTTGCAAATAAGTATAATCATAACTACATAACTATATAATACAACCTACTACTGTAATTACCTCAAAACCTTTCAATACCGTGTAACCCGCAAAGAAGGAGGCTGTAAAGACGACCTGTTACTCCTGAAATATGACGATCCAGAGTTTAAATTTATTCTTTTGTTTTGAATAAAATCTTGTATAAGCTTAATAAAAGATTTGGAAAAGAAAGAACAACGATCAGTTGCAGGAAATCATGAACAGTTAGTATATATTGCGTACAGTCGTCTCTGAAGTCTCATGCTTTGTTGGTAACCCTGTATGAGTTCTGAAGAAAACATGCACGTGTAACCAAAGTCTGTGCAAAATTCGTTCCTTTCTATATTTTTTTATTTTACTAAGAATTTGAAATTCTTTCTGACGGAAACGTTAAAAAACCAGTTTAAACAGTTACAAATTACAGAATCTTTATGCAACATGTTATATTACAAATATACAAAAGAAGACGACAATAATTCCCCTGTTTTTTATACATAGGATAAAATATAATGTTTTACTTTTAAACGTTATTTTCTATACTTTTTTATTTTACTAAGAATTTGAAATTCTTTCTGAAGGAAACGTTAAAAAAACCAGTTTAAACAGTTACAAATTACAGAATCTTTATGAAACATTATATATTACAAATATACAAAAGAAGACGACAATACTTCCCCTGTTTTTTATACATAGGATGAAATATAATGTTTTACTTTTAAACGTTATTTTCTATACTTTTTTATTTTACTAAGAATTTGAAATTCTTTCTGAAGGAAACGTTTTAAAAAGATAAATTCAATTAGTTACAAATTACAGAATTTTTATGCAACATGTTATATTACAAATATACAAAAGAAGACGACAATAATTCCTCTGTTTTTTATACATAGAATATGAAATATAATGTTTTGAAATATAATGTTTTAAAAGTTATTAAAAAAATGCGAGTATTTTGTACTAAATAAAAAAGAAAAAGTGCCAAAACTTTTATCTGAACAAGATTTGATAGGACATTTTTTATTTGATTGTTTTATTTTGGTCCATGGTTTTCCAAATAAACTAAACAAATTTTGATATTGAAAAATTAAATTTGACTTCTAAGCAGCTTTCTAAAAAACAATTATTTTGAAAAATCATTATCTTTTTGGTCTTTTTTCTTATACTTCTGGTTCCCTGCAACTGTAAACTTGGGTATTTCTTTGCTAAATCATTAAGTACACTGGCAGGCGATTATGTCAATACAGTGATGAACCCTTTTAATTTCAATTTTAATTTATGTCAAGCTGTTATTTAGAATTAATATACATAAACATGCAAGTCAAGAGACACTGTCAATTAAAAAAGCTTCTCTTTAATTACTTGTAAACTTGTAATTCGAAAAAAGGTTGTTAACAATAAAAATTAAATACAAATAACAAGTCGTCTTTATTGTATTGACATAATCGCCACCCACTACGTATATCATTTAAGTAAGAATGAAACTTTTTGGCATTGATATTGGTAAAATTGCTCAAGTCCACCATGCACCAGTTCAAAAGTTTTCTATGATACATTTAAAAAAGATTATTTGAATTTTTTTCATAACTTTCAAACTCATTCAGATTTTTCTTTTTTGTCTTTTTAATCACTATATTCTGTCAGTCAGAAAAAAATAAATGTCGTCAAAATATTTGTATTCATTCATTTAAAACTTAAGCAAATTATAGTTTTAAAGTTTTTTTGAAATATCTTGAAACATATTTGGCGGTTAAAGACGCATCTTTCGATGGAATAATTGAAATGTTTTGAAAACATTGAAAAATCGACCTACCCCTACGATCTCTGTTTTTTTAAATTGTTAATAAATAAACGAGTTTTGGTTTATTTAAAAAATTTTCTTTTATAAATGTTCCTTATAATTTACTATTGCGTATTTTTTTGTTGGTGCAAAAGTTTAAGAACTTTATGTGTGCACATTATTGTAAATTTCGTGTAAGATTGAAATGTTTTATATTTTTAATCACAACATCTCTTGTTTAAGAGCTGTTGAGAAGAATAATAATGTTTTGAATTTATTTTAAAGGGTGTCCCTAAAAACATGGGAATTCAGTGACGAATTCGATATCGTCTTTGTTATGAATTAGCATTGTAATACCTAATTTCAAAAAACATAATATTATCATGTTTGCTAGAGGAGCTAAAGTTTATTTTAAAAAAGCGATAAATGGCTGTAAAGATGTGTATAATGTCTCCTCAAGATGAACAGTGAAGATCGACAAGTTTACTCTGTTTGTATACAGGGTGTCCCAAAAAACATGGGAATTCAGTGACGAATTCGATATCGTCTTTTTAACTAATTCTTTGATTTAGTATAGTGAAAGCTACACTGAAAGTTGTAATCTGTAAGAGTTTCGTCTCCTATGTTCACATTTTGTTTGTTTATGTTTTGACTGCATTCGGTTGTACTTAGTAAAACCAGAAAATTGCAGTATACAAACAGAGTAAGCTTGTCCGTATTCACATGCGGAGACATTATAGACACATATTTACAGTCTTTTATCCTTTTCATAAAATAAACTCTAGCAGACATTATACTATTATGGCTTTTAAAATTAGGTAACACAATGCTAATTCATAACAAAGACGATATCGAATTCTTCCCTGAATTCCCATGTTGTTTGGGACACCCTGTACTGCAATTTTCTTGTCAAAGCATAAACAAACAAAATGTGAACATAGCAGACGAAACTCTTACAGATTACAGCTTTCTTAGTAGGTATCGCTATACTAAATCAAAGAATTATTTAAAAAGACGATATCGAATTCGTCACTGAATTCCCATGTTTATTGGGACACCCTGTATGTAGCCAGATAAATTTGCTTTTATCGTACTTCTGTGTAAAACCAAAACTAGAGGTACAAGTTCACAAACTAGAGGAGCTACTAGGTCACAAAGTCATACTAGTGATGTCGAATAGATTTTACCATCTCATTCAGTCTATAGTTTGCAGTGTTCTGCTACAAAATGTATTTTATATTTAGATTGGGTCAATGTACAAACGAATAATTTACAACAAATGTTTAATATGATGTGTAAAACTACAATTATTGATTATTATGCAAAATACAGGGTGTCCCACGAAACATGACAGTTGGTATAAATATTTTAGAATGTCTTCTTCCATAATTTGATAAGTTTTTTAATACGAAAGACAATAATAAAAATATTATTTAGTATTCATATTATAGTAATATTAATTTCAAAGTAAAATATACTAGAGCAAAAGATTTTTTAAACGAAATAAACTGAACAGCCTTTAATATCTAATACAGTGTATGGAAGACGACATTCAAAACTATTTATCAACTGTCATGTTTCGTGGGACACCCTGTATATAACAAACATATGTGCATTGATTGCATGTTAAATATTACGTGTAAAACTTTTTGTAATGACCGATATGCAACTAGAATTCTGAATTGTATAATTATGTAATAATATAAGTATAAAAACGGATCTTAGAAAACGTTTGCTAAGTTAGCTATTGTTTGAAATGTCTTCTTCTATAAAATGGCACTTTTTTATAAAATCAATTAAAAAGATAGAAAATGGAATATTGAAAATTCAAATTTTCATAAAGGCATAGTTTGGAATTTTAGAAATTGCGAAATGCGGGAATGTCACATGACAAAATTCGCAAAATTGGCTTGAATTATAGCAGAAAATTGGCTTGAATTATAGCAGAAAAAGATTCAGTTGCTTACATCACTTATAATTTTCAGGTAAGATATATTCAAAATTAGATTTTAAATGGGTAAATTTTGGCAGTTTAATATAAAGGTATCATTTTTGAAAGTACGCGACAGGCTTAATTTCAGAAAACGTGTTGTTACTTCTTTTTCCCTCGACTACATTTATTATTTAAAGAGTCAGAAATGTTTTAAATATTTTATCATCTTTTTTTATTTATCCAATACACAGAAATTTGTAAGTTTCAATTCCTCGTTCCTGTTTTGATGTTATAGAGTTTCCTTAAAATATATTTATGTAAGTTGGGGTTAGAGAAAGTGATTAAAACACATTGATGCATTTAAGCTTGGACTTTATATATATCTATATCTTAGTCGTACTAGAATAGTAAAAGGGTAATGGCTTTACATAATACATCTTTTTATACCAGAGGCTAAATTTAAAGAATTAGAGCCGCGGCTTAAATCTGAGACGCCGCTCAAATATGGTTGGTTCCACTTAAAATTGTATTCAATTTTTCAAGATTTCAGCCGGCGCTCAATTAAAACCAGTTTTTGGCGGATTTGAGACACAGCTCAAATTCATTAAATTCGGACTAGGCCTGTTTAACTAAAACAGGGGGGAGGGGGGGGGGAAATTTACGAAGACTTTGGACTCTGATGTAAAACGCCTTATTTGTTTATTCATTTTTTATAAAAACGATAGAATTATTCATAAAATGTAATCCCCTCCCCTCGAACATCTGTCCGCCTGACAGTGTCAAAGCTTTCCTCCGAAATATTTTGTTGCAATATGGCGACCTTCAGGACTTCTTCAAAAATGGCGGACAGTAGTAATCAGTTCAGCAATCTATTCTTTTTTTTAACCCGATTACTTTTTTATTATTTTGTTTAAAAAGTTAAATATAGGTGTAAATTGCGTAAATTTTTTGTTCTTTCATAAAAAAGAAAACATTTTTTTCTCTAAAATTATAATTTAGAAAACTTTAGGGCAAAAAATTAAGGTTATTTATTATAAAACAGATTATATGATGAAAGTTTGAATGCAGCGTGACTATTAGAGAAAGAAAGCTGAACTAGAGAAAGCATGGAAGAGGAGAAGAACTAGGACAGTTCTCTTCATATCTTTGATCCGTCCTAACCTAACATACAAAACCGTCCCAGCTAGCTTTTAAAACGCGACACCCTCCCCTTACTTTTCTGACACTTTTTAAAGCATGTTTTAAGTTTAATCTTTGTGTTTAATTTCGCTTGAAATCTACGTACATTTTCATAATATAAAACGTTACATTTTACGTAAGGATATTACATAGAACTCACTAACTTTTTATCTAGAATATTATATTAATACATTTATTTTTAAATAAATAGTAGATATATCAAATATTCGTACTTTGAGTCTGCAGATCAAAGTACAGTTTTGAATAACTTGATTCTTAGTGACGTATATGCTTGGTTCAGGTGTATAGTAAGGCATACACGGTAGAAATTTGAAAACTAGAGAAAACTAGACAGCTTAGCAAGCAGTATAGGATTTGATTTACAGTTTATCTTGTATCAGTTAATATCAGTTGCTTGTTCATGCAAGGTCTATTCGTTTATATATCTCAGATCTTGCATTTACAATCAAATCCAAGCAAGACTTTTTTCATTTATATAAAAAAAGACCTAAGGCTGGTTAAAAAAAGGTTTTCCAGTGAAATGTTAACTTATTGTAAACATTATACTTTAGCTTAAAAAAACCACACCCACAGTTTAACAATTTCATAATCTATAGTAAACAGAGAATTCTCTAGATAAACATGAACATACAGATAACAGTCTTCTCCGTTCAATTCCTCCCTGTCTAACCATTATGGTCTAAAGCCTAAAGTAGTAGTTCAACTTGGCATACTGATACCACAGTTTAATTCCTCTATTCATAAAATCCGACCTTTTCTTAAATGATCATAATTGGGACCATACAGCATTGATCAAATATTTCTCTAGATTTCTTGGAATTTATAAAAAGTTTTCTTGTAAAATTTATTTTCTATTGATCTAATTTGGTATATTTTCAGAATTATGTCTGCAGATAACGGAAAGAAGATCTTCACCAAGGCTTGTGCTCAATGCCACACTGTTGAACAAGGAGGAAAGCACAAGCAGGGACCCAACTTATACGGAGTCTGGGGCAGGAAGACCGGTCAGGCTCCTGGTTTCTCATACACCTCGGTAATAAGCAACTTTTTTCAGTTTTAATCTTTATTTTGATGATTTTGTTTATAAAACATAAAAATAAATTACTAATTCAAAACCGCTGAACAATCTGTTTCAATTTTAATAATATCTGTAATTGTTTAATAACCAGAGCCCGCGATTTAAAAGCTTCGGCTCGAGTCTTAATTCCTTAAACGCAGCTTTAAGACCCAATCTTAGACCCAACTCTGACGACAGCTTGTGTCACGTGATTGACAGCTGCGAGATCTTAGGCTCGACTTAAGGAGTTAAGCCCAATGAAAATAAAACCGACCTTGGTTGGTTTTAGTGAAGAATAAGGCTCAATGTTGGGTCTTATTCTCATCAAAACCCGGAATGCACCAATTCCAACTATGAAAATCCGCCAAATACAACATTAAAGCGGTTTTATGAACTAAATTCTGTTGAAAATTAGATGCAACTTAAATTCGAAAACCCGAGCCGTAAATAAGGCTCAACAACAGCTTAGACCCGAGTCGTATTTTATTGAATTTTTTAAATCGCCGGCTCAGATTTCATGGACACTTCTTGTTTTTATTTTTAACTTCAGGAATACATTACATATAAGGTTTAATTTCTTTGGTTTTGTGAAGTAAATATCAGAATTTTGGATCTTTAAGGGTAAAATCATTTTCATGCACCATTTACCCTTGTATATATACACTGTAAATGTCAATTTTCTCATTTCATAGGAGGGGGCGAGAACAACAAAAATCCCCCACCCCCTTTAGTTACGCCCTGCAGAGCATTTATTATGTTGATTATATTCAGTTTAGTTCAGAAATAACAGGAGAAAGACATTTTGTCTTCTAACAAACCAAAAAAATATTTAAAGGAACTCAGTTCTTGTTACAAATTATTATATTCAAATCATTATATCTTTGTATTTTGATGGTGTGATCTTTGAGATTTTAAACTTACACTACTTCATCATTTAAAGTTTATATTTTGAAAAAATAAAGGTCTATATGACATCAGATTTTTAAGCTTAGAAAATCAGAGTTTGTTGCAAGAACTCAGTATCTTTATTCCTAGACAAAAAGTTTCGAAAGGTTTGGTTCTAATATGTTTATCAGATTACTGATAGTTCTATATATGTGCAGGCTAATGTTGATAAAGGAATCACCTGGGGTCAGGATACACTAGATGAATACCTCATCAACCCTAAGAAGTATATTCCTGGAACCAAGATGGTGTTTGCTGGTCTCAAGAAGAAGAAGGAAAGAGATGATCTCATTGCTTACCTTCATCAATCCACAACAGCTTAATCCCTTCCAAAATTTACCTGTAATATTCAACATACATAGTAGAACCTTTAGATATTCTCAAACTTTATAGTATAAACACAAACTATTATTTATTTAAATATATAGATCTTCAAGTTTTTTTTTTAATAAAACTAGATTAGAATTATGAACTGAAAACCTCTAATCATAACTAGATTTATATTATAGAAGCAACTTGAAGAAAGATGCTGTCGTCGTTTAAATTCTAAAAATGTCCTTCCCAAGTCCATTTTTTCTTCAGAGAAATTATAACTGAAAAGAACAATTTCAAACTTTAAGAAGATATCTCGGTTCTCTTAATTCATCAGGTTGAGGTATAATGGTACCGATAATTCGGATATGTACTAATTGTAAATATCATAGCGGGATATCTGAAAATACAATTTCAATCCCTTTTGTACTGAACACTTGGATTATAAAATACCCAGTCTTATAGAAACAAATTGCAATACTCGTGGTATACAATATGTAAGTTTATTTTAAGTTCCAAATTAGAAATCTAGCAACTAATTCCTGATTGCTGACTATGTCTGTAAAAAGGAATTTTTAAAAGGGGTTGGTGGGAATTAATTTGAAGACAACCAATATCTTGATTTTTTGCTTTAAAGATACATACATATATAGATTAGATACATCTATCTATTTATGCTTGATCATTTAAAATTTGATTTTCTTTCTCTCCTTTACCGATTTATCCAAATTTTGAATGGGAAACTCTTCAGAACCATATAAATGTTCTTAGCTTGGTATACAAGATTAAAGTTGATCAGAGCTAAAATCTTTAGATAACCTTAATCCGGATCTGTTAATTATTCTGGATATTAAATTCATGAGGAGAACAAGCAATATTTAATCTGGAGATTATGAAAAAGAGGAGATCATGCATTAATCTCGATGTCCACCATTCTAAAGTTTTCAGCTCATGTTGATTTGTATAGTGAAATTAATCTTCAAGGCAAAGCTGGGTTCCCATTAAAGTGTATAATAATTATATTATGAAACAGAATTAGTTGTTGTCTGTCTACTTTATTTGAACTGCTATGCGCGCAGCTATGCAGCTAGAGATTTTCGTAATCGTAACTATACTCTGCTCCACACTAAAAGTTCAGTCATATTTTCAGAAATATAATAGTTTTGAAAACAAAAATCGTTAAATAAAAATAAATAGTGAGGACGATTCTCAATTCTCTCATTCATTCATTTCATTGTTTTTTTTTGTATCTTTATTTTTAAATCATCTTCCCGAGATTATACAAAAGAAGTTGTACCAGATGAATGGATCAGGATATTTGATATACTCTACAATTGACACTGACGCCTGGAATAGAGAAGTTTAACTATCCGTCTCTAAGTCTAGTATAACAACTTATAACGACATTCATTAAGCACTACCTCTAGTTCATTAATTATCTTGGACTTCTGGCTACTTTTGTATAACATAACAAAACATTGGAGTGATTCATATGCAGCTAGGGTTGGGGCTAGTTAACTAATTTTAACTTTAGTTTTTAACTTATACTTTTGAAAAACGAAAGCAATCTACATTCGTTAACGACACGACGAAAAAAAAAAAAACTTCTGTTTTTTAAAACACTATTTTTTAAAAAACGATCGTTTAAAAATCTGTTTTTTTTACGTTTTTACGAAATGATTTGTTCGTTTTCTTAAGAAAGATAAAACGTCCATCTCTAGATACAGCCTACATAAACAATAACATATATATATATTATGGACAGGATTTATTTAGTTTTTAGTGTTTTTTATTAGTTAACAATCATTTACAGGTCAGAAATAAAGAAGACGACTTTTGATTGCATCCTGGAATTTAACAAATTAACTGGATCGCTCCTGCAGATTATCACGCAATTTGTCAAAATTAACAAAAGATATTCGGAAAGATTTGAATAGTATTGAGGTTTGGTTATTTTAGATATGATGATGTATAGAGTGTTCATATCATTAATACAAATGTTGGTCAACACATTTTTTGGCTTTATTGTCATGTTAGATTTCCAAAAACGGATTTCTAAAACCATATATGTCCCAAGAAACATCACGATTGGTAAATATTTTTGAATATCATCTTCCGTCCACTGTATTAGATAGTAAAGCCTCTATGTAGTATATTTCGTTTAAAAAATCTTTTGCTCAAATATATTTTACTTCGAAACTGATTTTACGATAAAATGACTCCTATATAATATTTTTATTATTTTCTTTGGTATTTAACAATTAAACAAATTATGGAAGAAGTCATTCTAAACAATTTTTCAACTGCCATGTTTCGTGGGACACCCTGTATAATTGTAACATTGAAATCAAATTACTATTTGATTATATCGTCTTTGGTCCTCGCAGAGTTTTTAGTTAATTTTTGATGAAACCAACAATACACAAGTATTTAAGTAAAAGTAAAAATTTCAGAAAACTTGTCTTAATCACGTCTTCAGTCCTCAAAGTGCCGTAAAATAATATAAACCTTTAAAACCAAAGACTTTGCAAAGTCTCTGTTTAAAACATCAAGAACTATATAAATCTGTGGAATAAGGAGACAAAAAAAGCAATATTCTAGTGTATTTGATATTGTTATAAATAAAATAATTTTACTAATAACTTAAATTAAATCAATTAACCACTTAACTTAAGTGAAATGGGTCTGTACAAAGTACTGCGAAATTTCTCAATCTTCATCGAGCTATTTAATGTTATAACTGATAGTCGTCTTTCATTTCCAGAGTTTTTTTTATTGTCATTATATTTTTTTTAAATTTTGGCTTTGTTGATGATCTTAATGTCATAGACTAAATATCTTGTGATAATTTTGTGCTTGTGATAATTCAATACTTTTTAAACGATTTTTTTCATAATCATTTACAACTACTTTACAGGGAAGTTAAAGGAATTTTACTTTACGAAGGGTTCCCAAGACCGATTTTGCTTACAGAGCGCAAAATTGGAAAATTGGTAGAGGAAACCCTTTGTTATTAAAAAAATTTTAATTTCTCGAAAAAGTTTTTGTATGAGGTAAGCTTTACCTCTTCGTTTCCTTTCATTATATATATCATTATGTGTGCATGATGTGATTTCACAAGTTGTATATAATAATATATAATGATATATATGGAATGGTTTCAAAACACTCTCATCCCACCATATTTTCAAAATATCTTATTTCAAAACATTCGATGTAAAAATCACAACTAATGGTCTGACATATAATTTCAAAACATATATAATGTCATAACACCAATGTGTAAAAAAAGCTATTGTAAATAGTTTTTTAAAAAATTTTGATTTCTTTTCTGCTTCAGTTAAATTTTAAATAAAACTAAAAGCAGAATATATCCATTTAATCCATCCAAGTGTTTTGAATTTTGAAATTTAAGGTGTTTGAAAATATATTGTAATGACTCAGACGTTTTGTCAATTGTGCCCACACTAGTTCCGTGGACCGTGGAATATGTCTTTAGTGCCGATCATTTCTAACAGGTTTCCAAATCCAAACCATACAAACAGACAGACTTAAGGGAGTGACCGGCAATGTATTATTGTTGAACTGAGAATATAGTGTTGTGGAGAAATTGTTTAGGATTCATTTGATACATATAAAAACGTTTTAATGATGAGCGTAAAGTCGACGTTTATCCATTTGGGTTGTTACGTTTAAAAATTCGATTTTTTATTATAAATTAACGACGACAAAAAATGTAAAAGAAAATTCCTCAGCAAACTAATGAGATGTTTAAGAACATATTTCTCAATTGAAATTTTCTCAATAAATCAATTTTAAAACAAGGATGTCTTTTCGTTGTTAGATTGAATTTCTTATTTTTTATGAATTTATTCGCAGATTTCTTTAAATGTCAACTTTACAATAAAACTTCCAGGAAATCTACAGAAAATGTTTGTGAACAATGAGACATTACAGAAACCTAAAACTGAATAAGAATACTTATTTTCTATATTGATAGCTCTTGCTAAACGAATATGCACCGTAAAAACGTCTCATAGGTCTCAAATGATCCCTAAAAAATTTTTCCACAATACTACATTCTCAGTTCGAACTACCATACATTGCCGGGATCATTCTCTACAAAGGGACTGTAAGCTATATACAAATTTCAAGTGATCCTCCATGCAAAAGCCCTATTCACGAAAGTACCCCCTGAAATCTGTATGTTGGTGCTCATTTAATTGGACGGCATTTTTGTTTTTCAATGTTTAATTAAGTTTAATTTAAGCGATGAAGTCAAATAATTCCTGCATGTTTGTAGCAAATATCGTAGTAAACCCATATATTTGTAAACCTGTAATCACACCTAGATATATTACGTTGTACATCTTTTACCATATAGATATTAAAATAAACATCAGTTGGAATAGACTCCACTTTAATTACGGTGTGAGAGTAATTGTTCCTCGTTTAGCGAATGAGAAGAATCAGCTGAACCACTTCCTTAAAAGAAAGATATAGATTGGGAATTACAGTGCGCTGTATCTTGAAACATAGATACCTGAGAATACAGAAGTATATGCCTGGACTGGAACCTTATTACAGTACTGAATAGTTCTATGCTTCGTGGATTAACAAGAGGGATTGAGTTGTATCTTGAAACATAGATACCTGGAGAATACTGATAGAGTTGTATCCATATTGATACTGACAAAGTTATTCTTGGAGAACCCGGAGTTCTAGATAGAGTTGTACCTGAGCCCGCGATTTAAAAACTTCGGCTCGAGCCGTAATTCCTTAAACCCGACTTTTAGACCCAATCTTAGACTCAACTCTGACGACAGCTTGTGTCACGTGATTGACAGCTGCAAGATCTTCGGCTCGACTTAAGGAGTTAAGCCCCATGAAAATAAAACCGACCTTAGTTGGTTTTAGTGGAGAATAAGGCTCAATGTTGGGTCTTGTTCTCTTAAAAACTGGAAATGCGCCAATTCCTACCATGAAAATCCGCCAAATAGAATATTAAACCGGATTTTTAAACTCAACTCTGTAGAAAATAAGATGCAACTTGAATCCGAAAGCTCAAGCCGTAAATAAAGCCCAACGACAGCTTAGATCCGAGCCGTATTTTTCCGAGTTTTTTAAA